ATATATATATATATATATATATATATATATTGTTGGATTCACTAGAAGTAAAGTGAAGCAAAAACAAAAAGCACTAGAAATTAGGAAGCATATAGGAACAAACAATAAAAGCAACATAGGATAGAATCAACGGTAGTAAAGGCATAGAACTTTGGATAGAAGAAAACAGAGTTATGACACAAGAGTCCCCGATATGAATTTTGAGTTTACAGAAGCTTAAAAAAAGGAAGTTGGAAAGGAAAGACATGCGTAAGAACAATGAATTTACAAAAATAGGCGATTTTATATCCGGAATAGTAGCGACGGAGATGAGAGTTTCTGCAGAAATTGGGTCCGGGCAGGAGAATCACTGTATACAGCACGAACAAGACTCCTAATTTCATCAGGCATCAAGTAGTTTTTTTTGGCAAGAGGGCCCATCCCCAGGGCCCACAATTCAGTCTCTACATAGGACATACTGTCCGAAGAGAGGAATGAAATAATGCCTTGAAGTCGAGAAGCAGACTTTACTTCAGAGAAGGCGAACTGAAGCGATGTCATGCTAGTCAGAGCGGACTTCCCATTTGGCTGCATTAATAGAAGTATGAACATGAAAGAGGCAAAATTACAAATTGAAGATAGCTGGCAGAATAATCATATGAACTAATTAATAATAATGAGTAAAAATGAGTGGGGAATCTGGAGTTAAGTAGACAAGGTCAATCGATGAGATTTTCTTCACTTGACAAACAATTGTTAGACTTTATTTAGAAACAGTTATAGGGATGTGGTTTTATAATGTAAATGTGAAATGAAGATGTGAAAAAAAAACATTTAATGATTTTCAATATTCATCAAGTGAACATCTATCATATGTGAAGAATAAACCATTAAAATGTTACTCCAATAGAATTTGCTATCGGATATAAATCCGATAGTCCATACTTATTGCAGCTCTTTGAAAGATGGAAAAAAACAATTTCAACAAACATAATTTGATCTAGCTATGAAGACCAATATTATGTGGTCTCTGGTATGGTCGCAGTCTCTTTTCAATTTATAGAAGCGGGTTGACCGCGTTGACAACTACTATGAAAGTCTACTTCGGACTAGGTGTGTTCTACAAAGTCACCCTGACAACAATACCAAGTTGTGACGAGGTCAACACACTTATATAATTTGATCTATGCTAAAATAAAAGTTTTTCGCGAGATTACCACATTGTTATAGGCCAATCAGCCTCATTACTAATGAATAGCAATTTAGGCACTATAAAAATACGATGTTTCATTAGGTGAACAAAATTAGGCTATGACAAGTAGGTAGGATTGCAGCCAGTCACCTTGTCATGTGTTTGGTGACTTATCTTAAAGTGTGATGTCTTGCTCTAAAGAAGTCTGTAACATGGCGGGCAAAAGCTCAGTAGTTTCAGTATGGTTGTGGAGCGGATCGTCGAGGGCTTATTCTCACAAAACTACACTCAGCTCAGAGGTAATCTTCTTTCGACTTCCGATGAGCCCAATTTATTAATCCTTTCTATTCACCTCTTAAAATGAAATCAAAGGTACACTAACATCAGCCCATTAAGTGATTCTCGAAACCCAGTTTAGTTTCATGTCAATAACACTTGTCATAAAAGCAAGTGCCCATTGTATATCACAGAATGAATGGCAAGATTCAACAAATAATGAAGATTACAATATCAAAATCAGGTCCACATGGGGCTTGAGAAGAAACACTCTCCATAAAATTCGCAAACTAAAGTACATTCGGCAAAGATTTTGTGATTTCTAAACTAAACACAGTTGCCCCCAAACGCAATACCGATTCAGTTAATACCTTAACTCATTTGCAAGAATATAGGGTAAGATTAAAGTAGCCAGCAAAATCACGGGGTGCCTCATTAAGATCGCGAAGTTAGGTATATAAAAAAGTGATTAGGGTTGCAGCCGGTTATTTTTTTCTCTTAGTTTAGCATATTTTTGCTCTATTTCGTGAAGTATAAATACCTGCTCTGGGGATGTCTGTCACAGTACAGACGAAAACTTGGCAAAATTTCATCGGGGTCGCAGGACTGTGAGCTGGGGACTTCTTTTTACAATTCAACAATCTTCCTTACGAGAAAATTTTCTTTCGGCTTCCGGTGAGACCATATCACGAATTCCCTCAAACCAGCTTTTCCCTCAAAATGGAAAGTCATGTCACAGTATAGTCTACATCCTGCTTGCGAATAATCATACGTCATACCAACATTAAGTGCATTTAAGTCCCTAAAATACTTAGTAAAAAGATTTTGCAGATATATACGAGGTTTGTTCGTTTGTAAAAAGTGCTAGAAATAG